ATAAAATAATAAAATATTAATCAAACTAAATAAATATTGTGTAATTTTAATTAAAATATTATGAATTCATAACTACACCCCTCCTCTTTGTTGTTTTTTTTTTTTTTTGATTTAACAACTACATGCAATATAGCTGCTTTCGTTCTTACACCACTGAGCATTTTCGTCCCTCTGCTCAAAAAATGAACATTTTTCGTCCGCCTCCAGCCTACCAACAGAGTCAATGATTAATTTGGCTATACTGAGCAGTGCTAGCGAACACTCTTTTTGATACTTTTCTTCAAACTCTTTCGGAAAACTGCCCCAGCTGCCCCACACGGCATCTAAATTTTTATTATTGGTTATAATTTTGAATTTTACATTAAAAATAATATTTTACAATGCTCAAATAGTAAAATATTAGACTCTTTTTAATTTTTAGTCAAGTGAACCTAATTAATTATTGCAATATATTAATCTAATTTAAGTTAAGTTGAATTTAGTTAATTAATTGAATAAAATTAAACTATTTAATTTTAAAAAAAATTTAACTAAAAGGAACTATAAATAAAAAAGAATTAAGGTTTAAATTTTATTTAATTCTCATTTAATTCTAAATGACTGTTTGATTAACCTATTCAAGTTCAAATAACAATGTTATTACATGAAATAATGGATTTTCCTCAATTAATTAACTAACTTTTTCAAATCAAGTTAATCATTTTCGTACTTATTAAATTAATCATAGTTTTATATAATTTAAAACATACTAGTGAGTATTAAATTTTATGAAAACCTCTATTTTAGGAAGGATGAGCTCTTAAATCTTTTCTCTTCCTTTACTAACACATGTGACCTTTCAATCTCATAGTTTAACATATGATTTATATTATTATTGATCTAATTTATGCAATACTTTTTCAAATTCATGCATTAATCACTAAATCAATTGAAAAGTGATCAAACTTTCAATGCATTAAATTCAACAGCATAAACCATCATGTTGTGAATAACCAATATGTTTTGAATTAAACTAAAATCAATCACATAATCCAAAAATTAAAATTCATCAAACCCTAGTTCAAGTAATTTAGCCACATATAATCAAGTTCAAAACAACCAAAAAATTAAAAAGAAAATCTAACAAAGAAACATTGGAAAAGCAAGAAGTAAGAATGAGAAAATCAATCTCCTAAAAATAGGAGCAAAGCCAAACTGCTATTTGGAATTCTCTTCCTCAATTATGTCTTGTTGTTGTCGTCAACTCCACTCTACTGATTTCTCAAAGTAGGGTTGGCAAAGAAGAAAACAAGAGGCAGCGTTCCCCTTCTCAGTAGCATAGTTGATGTATATATTTTGCTTGTTTTCACTTTTTTACCCTCATTGTTCTTCTGGGGCTTATGAGTTTTTGGGCTTAAATTGCTGCCAGCCCACAACCTTGAATCCCCTTAATTGAGTAAAATAAAAACCCTCAAGCTCCATCTCCCTTTTTGCAATTTGCCCAGCATTTTGTGTCAAAACCGAAATTTTGAATTGAAATTGAAACTTGAATATCATTGAATTGGGTTAAGCTTGTAAAGATGAGTTATAACTCTACTTCTTAACTTTCCAATGTTGTAAGAATCACCTCAATTCGATATCTAGAGAAAAAATTATGGCTGAATTA